CTACTTATGTTTTGCATGTCTGACATGTTTCTAAGCTGTCACTTTGTTAGATTTTCAAGCTACTTATCATTTGAAGAAATTTCTTTGCTTCAATATTTACTAATACTTCAATGCTTTGATCCATTTCGATATTAACACGCGACTGCGACAACGCGAGTTTTGGCACTTTTGGCCACGTGGGACCACGGCGTTTTTGCGAGCGCCGCCGCCTCAGGTTGTTCAAGCAAATTTTGAGTGATAAAAACATAAATAATGATCAATACAAGGCCAGATCAATATATTGTAATGAGCACAACCTACTCGGAGGTACAGTAGCGGAATTTCTATTGAAAGACATGGAATAACAATGAAAAAGTGATATTCTTTAGAACAAGCTGCAATAAACTTCAAAGGCAATTTTGAGTTGATTATTTTAATCAAAACACATATATTGTCATCTCTAAGGTACCGTATCTACTTCTACTACTATTTAAACCTTCACATTCATAGGAAGAAAAAGTAAACGAAAAATTTATTAGGCTGAAGATTTCGTATGGTTCAGAAATCCTCCTCCAAATTGAAGCATACGTGACCATTCTATGGACCACTATGTTTTTAGCTAGGTCAAGGTCTCCTCCATTCAATAATTACAAGAAACTTCTAGAAGAACCAGGCGTGCGCGAAAAAAATTAGTGTAATGGGTGCGGGGGATATATCCCCCGCACGGTCCGACACGGCCTGCAATGCGCGGGATATATATCCCCCGCGTTGTCGTCAATGTGTTAACCATGTAGAACTCATTTTTTCGTCTGGTTGAATGGCCCGTATTTTTTCCAGCCGGCATTTCTACTTTTGGTTGTTTTTATCCACGCAAGATCTGTGATCTGTAGTGTTTTCTAGACAAAAATAAACTTCAGAAGTTTCACATGTGAACATTTTCGTCGAATTACATCAAGTTTGGGGTCTTTGCAGCTATAAGAAGGGTCAACCGTTCAATCTCACGTTGTAATCGCAGTTTAGCGTCAAGTGAAGGTCTCGATATGGACGGGAAAGCCTTCCTTGCTCAAAAGAGAGGAATGGCAAGGAGCGTTGTATCAGCATTTACGCCCATCCACATGGACTATACAGTCAAACTAACCATAAGTAGGACGTTATATTGCCCTTTCTGAGCGGATTCAACTTATTAACCAATCTAGAATTACCTGGGAGGAGCGATAGTTTGTGGGGTGGGGATATCCAGAAGAAGCGCGCTTTTCCCACTGCTCACACTCTGCCTTTGAAGGCAAAATTAATGGTGAAAAAGCTACCCATTAGAATTTAAGTAGAACTGGTGAGTGGTTCAGTTTGAAGAAAAATTAAAACGGCCTAAACTCAAGAGACGGGACACCTTCTTTGCTCGTTGAATTCCGCATTGAGGTACTGTCATCGTCGCTTCCCTCTTCTACGCTAACGCTCTCTCCGCTGAACGGCTAGAGTCAGGCGGTGAGGGATTACCTACCGGCGAATGTGCAGAGGATAGCGGCGCGGGTTCAGCCATGCTAGCCCGATTGGGCATACTGTTCACTGCCAGAAGCGCGACGTCTCGCACCTTGGGAGGGTCGCTTGCATTTTCCAGTTGGTATATTTACCCTTGGCCATTTTTGATCTTTTCGGGGACCCTTTTTATTCCCCGCTGTTAGATAGGGCGACTTGAACTCGTCTCTTTACCTTGTCGAAAGGCTAGAGCACAGGCGGACAGAGACCATTATGTTATCTTCGAATGCTGAAAGGAGGCATAAGAGCTCTAACTAAGACTAAGCCTTGGAGGGGAGGCAACTTCGGTGGGTTCACAACTTTTAGTGTGCCAGGCCACGGCAGTCATGTCTCGTTATGCAGCACATTGTGGCGGTTTGAAGGACTGAGTTCAAGTTGTCCGTAGGCGGATAGATCGATCTGTTGTTATATTTTCAGGCCTTCAAAACGACCTCCCCCCTCGTTCGAGCTATTTGAGCGGATTGTTGATGGTGCTACTTTGATTCAGTGATCTGAGGCCATTCACTCCACGGAGGACTTGGGCCTGACACTGCGACAGTTTGTGTGAGTTCTAGGGCTTCATGTTGTCATAAGGAGCATTTCGTGTTTCAGCACTTCAATTTCTAAGCATTTCTCTCGAATATAAATAATGCTCTGAGGTTGATGTGGTGTGTGTGTGTAGTGGACGGTGGCGGCATTTCTAGGCACCCGGTTTGGGGATCAAATCCAGGATTACTCGTTATAGAGACCTACTAAGGCCTACACCTTCCGGGTGGATCAGTAGCTATAATGCTTATATGGAATGTTAGAAACGATGGCTTGAACATCAGCTTGACCCAAAGGTCATTGTATAGGAGAGCTCGCATTGAAAAATGCTACGGCGAGAGAACAGTGCCTAACGCATCCCGAAAAAATGGATCGACGCTAAATGACTCATCTTCCCTCCATAGTTCCTCTTTGCACCCATAATATTCTGCTAATGCCAGTGCTTACCAATTTCTGAACGATTCTCAGCAATGAAATTCAGGAGTTGGATGAGATGATAACAATGTGCCAAAGCTCTTTATTAAGCAAACTAAACAGGATGAAGGACCACTCGAATTTCGCAGGATTCGCCACAACCAATCGGCAGCACGCAAGAAGGACAGGATACACGCGCGGAAATCGAGCAAATTGCACTGCCCCTGATGTGCACGCCTCAAACGGTTAGGTTCCTGTGTTGCGGAACCACTGCTTCATCTCGTGGGCAGCTGCGCGAGCGCGTGTTCGATCGAAATTGTAGACTTCTGGCTGATCGTGGATGTCTAGTGGGAAGTCGCCTTTCCCAGGAACAAGAAAATTGCAAAGCGTTCTCTAAAAATAAGCGTTTCCGAACAATCATAAGTAAGAACGTCAATTGAAACGAACCATTCGGTCGAAAACGAATAATAACAGTCTGAGGTTCGCAGGCACTTCTTGAGAGAGCAACCCTTAGTTCAGAGCTTACGCGTATGCGGAATTTCCCATTATGTGGCCTCCTGCAACGTTGAGCAGGGTGTAAGTGCAGCACAGACCGGGGGTCACCTGGAACAGCAAGACTGCTTCGTTTCAATATCTCTTGAACTAAAGTCTTCCGTCTATGCAGTGAGTTCCATGTCCGGTTTCCTTGGGATATGCGCATCCCGGATAATGTCTTGTTTCCTCTGTGCCATACAGGTCGTTGTGGTGGAACACGTTTACTGGTCAACGTTTCCACAGTTCGTCCGCGTTCAAGACCTAAAACTGATTCGAAATCCTAGCTCTGTAGCTCAACCGGTGAAGCGCCTAATCTTACTAAGTTCCCAGAAACGCGAAATATCATAGTACAAAATAACCGATCCCAGTGAACGAACTGAGCTGTGGTGAGGTCTACCAGTTTTAGCAGCCCTCTCGTGTAGGAGAGGCTATCGTTTCTGAGAACTTAGTAAAATTAGGTACTTTACCGAGTGAGCTACAGAGCTAGGACTACGAACCAGTTCAGGTCCTGAAGACGACGAATTGCGAAACGTTGTCCAATCTTCTGTCGTTTTGCTTTTTTTCCTTTCATCTGCCGTTATATTTGCAAGAAGGAAAAAACCTCCACATCGGCGGACAATTTGAAACTCGCTGAAATCGAGGCACAAGGACAAGGTATGATGGTTTGTGGAGGCAGATCTGCTGAACTGAAGGAATCTTACCTGCGACAGATGCAGGAGCACGGCAAATGCTGTGACGCGAAGCGCAACGAAGCACATTGTTTCTGAAGTTTGTTTTTTTCTGATGAATAAATCCAGTTTGGAAAAGTCTTTAAAAAAAACTCTCAAAATCACCTTACCCCTGCTTTTGGGCAAAAGCGTACTTCCTCAAGGGACGAAGGGAACACAGTAACATCTCGTCGGCCGGCTAACGAAGAGGAGGTACTATGTCGTCATGGTTTCCCGATTTATTTGAACTATTATGGTCTGAAAAATAGTTTCATAAAATTGGAGACTTATTCCGCTCGTTTTCCGGAGAAATTTATGATACGCGTTTCACGGAAAGGCAAGGAAGGCCGTAAATTCATTTCCAAGTGATGGAGCTCTGCCTACTACATATTTGATCAGAGACGATTCTGCTGGTTCTTCGAAAGCAATTTTGATAAGAAGTCTCATGTTTAGAAATTATTATCATTTGTTAGGGAATTATCGAAACGAGCTGCAAAATCGCTGAGGCTCCAAAAAATAGGATAAGAAAAAGCACAAGAAGACACTGTTATGGATATCAATTACAGGGAGCTCTATTTGGTTGGCCACTTAGGTTTCTC